ATAAAAACTTTAAATATATATTTCAAAATTATAATAAAAATTTTCTTTGTCATCACTCAAAGTTTCAGCAATAAAATCTAAAACTTTCCTAATCCATCTCAAAACGGAATTAAAATTTGTTGTTCTCTAATTTGTTATGAGTTTTGCATTTGATTTCAGAGAGATTTTATATATTAAATTGATTGGCTTAATTCCTCTCAGACAATGTGATGTTAATTAGGCTGCGTAGCTATTGCGGAGCATACGGAAGCATCAGAAATTTAAATTTAGAATAGCAAAAATCATAAACAATTCAAAATTTGTTTGGCATTTGTAAACAAAGATAGATTTGTCTTTAGATTTATGCACACCTGTTGACATTGGCTCGAATTGACTTACCTGAAGTATATAGCCTATGCTGCAGATGATGAACCACATGACATCTGCGAACGCATCCCAGGTATTCCACATTCTTTGGTTCCAGCTGAGCGGCTCTGCCACGCCCACTGCCGCACCATTGCCATTTGGCAGGGCATGTCCGTTGGCTGACGGTGTAATATCCGCCTGTAGATTGTTATTGTTCTTCTCCATTTTGCGACACGATTTTTGTTACACTTGTTCTGTATTTTTTGTTTCTTTTTAGTAATTTATTTTCTGTTGGAAAATCACAATTATTAACTTTATTTATTTTGTATTTATTTATTTATTTTTTGTTCTTTTTTTTTTTTTGCAAAACGGTTTTTCTTTGATGCAAACGAACCACTTGCAAGCAAGACAATAACAATAACAATACCAATGGCAATAACAAATAATAACAACAAGGCGAGACTACGAAATTTTTACGTTTTGCCTTTGTTATGTTTTTTTGCGTTTCTTTTATATGTGTTTTGTGCTTTTAGCTCTGATTTTCCGCGCAGCACGTCCGCTCTCGTGAGCGTAGCAAACGAATTTGAACGAAAGGAATGAATTTCGACTTCTTATTTTGCGGCGCTATTGGATATCGCCGCTGACGTCGCTGTCGCTGCCGGCGTTGTCGTTGTCGTTGCCGTTGCCGTTGCCGTTTGTTCACCGCCTGTCTGAAGCTTAGAGCTGTGTGACGTCACGAAGCTTCAGCAACAGCTGTCGCTTTGTTAGTTTTGTTTTGTTTTTGCTTTGGCATGAAAAGCAAAAGTTTTACGCGGAGCTTCGAGTCGGCAACAGCTGCGTTCTTTTGACGCTTTACGGTAAATTACCTTAACTCGCTTCAGTTTGTGTAATTTAATAAAAGCTTAGCATTTTGTGTTGTTGAGATCTTGTGCATTGCCCACTGTACACACAAATTAATTGTTATTTATGTTGGCTTAAAAGCTTTAATCATTTACAGGTCAGCTGCAGTTGCCGCTCGCCTAAAGGTATTTCAGTTTTATGCAAACTCATTAGTTTGGGGTAATTAATTAAAACCTTTGATGCAATTATAAGGTGTGTGTGTTTCTCAAAAGGTAGAGTTGTGCATGAACTTTAACAAGTGTTAGAAAATTGCAATAAAAGCATTACGAATACGCTAATTAGCAGCAAAAGCGCTTTGAAGCTCATTTTTTAACTAATTTCATATTTTCCGACACTTTTCTATGAATGCTCTTAAGGTGAGAGAATCATAAAAATAAAACACAAAAACAATTATTAGTAACTAACTAATTAGGCCTTTCAAGCACTTATTTAAGCATCTAATTTTCTTTTACATATGTTCACTTCAGTCAATTGCTAATTAGTATATTTTCCGCATTGCTTCATGTTTTCATTTAATTGTTCAGCATCTGTTGCTGCTGCTTATAAACATTAAACTCTATATAGTCCACTTAATGCTTACACTTATGATTGTTGCTCAAAAGTGTTAAGCCTTCTCCAACACTTAAATCATTTAATTATTACTTTCGTGTTTTTCACCATTTACACTTTCACAGTTGACCTATCGAATATCCTCCTTCCGTATATTTCTTCACTTTCCTTTGGCTCAATTCTGATTTATGCCGTAATTTCTGCGTGCTCGAAAGATGCCAAATGAAAGTGAAATTACGCCATTGCCTTTAATTCCATTGTTATGATCCGCTTTATTGTCTGCTCTTCTTTATGCGGGTTCTTTTTTTCTCATCTGCTTTTAGAATATTTGCATGTCTATACCCTGTACACCACGCGAGCACAGGAGCATATTATTTTGAAAAAACCCTACTACAAATATTTACATATTATGTATTTGTAAATTGATTAAATTTGATTTAATTTAATTTTATCTAATAAAAGGGGTAATAATAAAATTTATATGCAATATGGCTTCAATGCAATCATAGAATATATCTTAGTCTATAACTTCATTTTACATTTTATATAGAAACATGTTATGCAAATTTGTATTTGGGGTTTTTTTTTTTTTTTTTTTTTTTTTTTTTTTTTTTTTTTTTTCATTCTATTGATTCTTGTTGATTTCGTCACATATTTTGGGTTTATTTAATTTATATTTTTTGTGTGATTTGATTTGCTAACGTGCGTGTTTTAGAATTATTATTTTCATTTGAATTTTTAGCAAGTATTTGCAGCCTGCTGCTTGGGGTCAAAAACCGCCAAAAATATTTAAAGGCCGTCTACTTTTGGTCAGCTGCATACATGATACTGCAAAATTGCAACTGTGTGCGAGAGTGTGTGAGAGTGGGTCGAGGGACGAGGGAATTGCGAGCCGCAATAGTGAATTGCATAAATGTTGAGAGACGACTTTTGATACACACAAGAGACACTTAGAAGAAACTTAGCGACTGCCTGAGTGCACTTCTAAACCTCAAATATTTTATGCAATACATATTATAAACTTAATTTACATATCGGCATGTCACTTGCCTGTGATTTCACAATATTTTCTCAGGCAAACGCGCGGCGACGTTCTTCAATTGAAAGCACGCAATTTATCTCACTAGACGGCTTTTCAATTTATTACTTAATTATTTATACTGGTTGCTGTTCACTTGTGTTTGATGTTTGCCTTTTGTATTTGATTATATTTACTTTTAACTTTTTCAGCGTCCTCTTGCGACCAATTCGTTGACATTTGTGACGCATGCGTCAAACACAAGAACACAGCTGAAGAGGGAGAGCTAGAGAGAGAGAGAGCAAGCGGCATTTGCCAAGCGTGAGAGCAGGCAGTGTATGAAAGGGCTCCGTTTGTTAGTTCATTTCATGTATTTTTATTTATTTTGTGCGGGCATTTGTGAGCAAAAGAGAGCAGGAGCAAGAGAGCGCATCCAAATTCTAAGCGATAAACAGCTGTTGACAGTGTTGGCAAAGCGCCAAATATATTCAAATAATTGCGCATCAGCAAATTAGCGAAATCTTACAAATATTTCTTTATTTATTTATCGTCAAATTAAATGTGTTTTCTTATTTAACTAGCTTTAATGAACTTATTTAATAATTTCCGCTTTATGAGCTTTATCAACAAATAAACAACATTCTCTAAACATCGTATTTCCTTTTTCTAAAAAATTTAACCTCGTGCCCTGTTGACCGCGCGCTAAAAATATGTTAATCCACACAAAACATATAAAAAAAATTTGTTTAACTTAATCGTATTGAAAATGGCATAAGATTCATTTAACTGACCTTGACGGGCGTTCAAAACCCGCCAGAACCCCATAACGAAATTAGCGTTATTTGCCGATCGAAGCCATTTGTCAAAGATTCAACACTGGCGCCAATCACCGAACTTTAACCTATTTCACTTCCTCACACGCGCATGAATACACACACGCACAAACAAATCTATGTATATGTGTATATCTATATAGATAAATATAAAAATACCAAGTCACATTTATGGTATAGCTCTAAGAATTCTTGTTTGTGAAGCATGGAGTTCGAAAACTTCCGGCTAAGACTCCATAGAACGTGTTTTAAGCCATGTGCGACCAGACTTGGATCGCGGCTCAGACTCTGACGTTTATTCTTTGGAAATTTTTTTGCTGTTTATTTTTAATTGGCGACTTCAGATAGAACAACGTAGCACGTAGACGCTTTATGATGCCCGTATGGATTGTTCATAATTATAAGCTAACTAATTGTTGGCAAACTTTTTTTTAAAGATTTCTTATCGCCTTTTTTGTCTCTTTCAAGGTCAAAATCAAGATGGTCTTTTATCGTATTCAAAGTTTTTTTTTTCCTCACTTGTGTTAATTGCAATATGTGAATTGTTAATTTTTAATTGAAGGAACTGAAATAAATCAATTTGAATGAATTAAAAAATAATAATAAAGATAGTTTTGAAATTAATTAGGAAGCATATGTCAGAGATATTTTATAGTATATATACAATGATGTTTTATAAATATAAAAATAAATAAAAATATAGATAAATATTTAAATACAAATTTTAATAAAAAATTGGAACGCATAATTTTTTATAACAAAAAATAAATATTTCTGATTATATTGAATCATTTTCTATATTTTTATTCATTTTGTTGAAGTATAAATTTATGTAAAACTTTGATATTGTTCAAGTCAAATAATAAAAAATGTCTATTAGTTTAATATCGCAATATTAATCAATATATCATTCTTTGTTCACCTTATCCACAATTTGTGTATTCCAAAGTTTTATGTTGTCAAATACAATTTATCATGCTTTTATTAAGTTGACAAAGCAAACTAAAAATGTCAACACTATTTTAGGTAGTATCTTTGTTTAGATCGTAGTGTTAGTAGATGAATATTTTCCGGTACCAGATTATCATGAGCTTCCGCTGAAATTGACCCACTTCACGGCATGCTAACTCTTAAAGTGTGATGCAAGCGACATTGAATCTTAATTATGGCTTTTCTTTAAGGCCTTATCGATTTGAGGCCCTGCACACCCATCAAAATCTGAAAAAATGAAACAAAACAAATTTTAGCTTCAACATCGTTGAGGCTATCGAGCTGCTAATAAGAAACTCAGCTATAGGGCGCCGTCTGAATAGGCCCTACACAGATTTTCTTCCATATATAATTATGCAAATTATAGATAATCGTATTAATTTAGATATAGATGTGAATGCGGTAGCCACGTGCAAAGTTAAATATGTAAACTACATACAAGTATTTGATGAGCTTATATTGCGTTAAATTATCGGAATTATGTAACATAATTTGTTCACGTTTTTATTGGGTTTGTTTACCAAATGTACATTAAATCATATTTCTTTTTAACACATAAAAAAATAAAATAATAATAAATAATATTTTATTTGAATTATAACTATTTTAGTCCAGTCTGCTATGCTTTAAATATAAATATTTTTATGTTTATGGAAACAAAGAATTTTTTTTTTTAATTTTGGCAATTTGTAAATTGATAAAGTAATTTTATTCCTTTTTTTTTTTTTTTTTTTAAATGGCTGTACTTGATGCAATATTCCAAATATGTAATGTCAAAGTAGACATTTGGAGAATATTGATGAATTAATTAATAGGCCGAAAGAATTAGGCGTAAGCTCTATTTACAGTGCACTTAAAAAACCTTAACAAAGCCTAAGACATCAGCATATTAAATGTGCTTTTAATTAAATTAGTAACCAAATCATAAGTAATAAGGCCAAATGCGCAAATGGAGGCTGCGAGATATTAACAAGAAAAAAAAGAGAGAAAAAATAAACAGTA